CCGTGGGGGAGTGAGCAAGCGGCTGCGTGGTGCTTAGTTGCTGGCTGGGGCTAAACCACGACACCTGTAAAATGAAAATATGCAAGATTTTAAAGCTGTATAAATGGGGAAAAGATAAAATTAACCCCCTGAAATTCTGTTCTGCATCTACTTCCTCTCTGTCCATCAATTTAAGATTGATCCTCCAGTTGCTTATGCACATGCTTAATCTTAGACACATGAGTACATTTACTGAATTCCAAAGGAGTTTCTGGCTGAGGTCTCGGGTTGTAAGTTCTGGTCCAGGGATGTACCCTTCTATAAATCTACCTAATGTATAGCACACTGTAGGGGCCAACATCAGCAACAATGTTAACAATAAATAACAAATGCATCTATGTTCTTGCTAAGCATTTTAAGCAAAGAAAGCTTTACTTTAAGGAACTTACAACAAAGGTAAATACCAGTAGGATACCAGAGTTTTGCTTGAGTTAAATGCTAAAGGCCATAGATCACCTGTGTACTAGTATGTTTTTCAGATAAGATGAATTTCTTTGTTCTGTTTTTGGAAAACACTTGGCACAGTAAGATCATGAGTATTCCTGCATCCTCTTACATTAAAAATTGTTGTATGGGATGATGTGTGGCAGGAGAATGAAAATTGTACCACTGTTATTTAATTGCAATTGCATCACATGTACATTGCTAAAAAAGTTACTAAGAATGTACTTTCTCCATCCTTTACACAGTAGTGTCCTTATCTTACCCTTACAGTGCCTTCCCACATGTTTGCTGCCTTCTGTGAATGTCTCCCCTTCCTTACATGTTCCTTTCCTCCACCAGACGCTGAAGGATGCCAGTGACAATGCCCACAAGGACTTCCACTGTGAGGCAGAGCTACTGACTAACCTGCAACATAAGCACATCATCAAGTTCTATGGCATCTGTGTTGACGGTGATCCACTCATCATGGTCTTTGAGTATATGAAGAATGGAGATCTTAACAAATTCCTCAGGTAAATCCACCAACATGTGTTGTGCTGGAAAGTCAGAAGTGGGCAGAGAAAGTAAGCATTGCTGGTACTTAATGCCAAATTAACTGCTCTCTGAAAAATGTGGACATCTAAGAGTGAAAATCTGTGCAACACTGCTGATTCATCTTGTATACTGTGATGTGGGGCTTATTGTTTCTTTACCTATTTGGAAGTACTATTAAGTTAATCATTACACTTTCCACCAAAAGAATGGGAACCAAAGGAATAGTGTTTTCAGTATATTTCAGCATATTCTGAAATGTTTATTTATAAAACTTGCAGTAGTAATTATTTCCTTGCCTCTCTTCTGCTAGCACCTGGGAAGATCCCACTCAGCACCTATCTCTATCTGTAGGTGTTGTATCTGCACTTGACATAAAAAAAAACAGTTAAGAGACGCTAGCACCTACATCAAACGTTTGCATAAGGGACTGTTCATTCAACGTCTCCTATGTCATTTCCATCAAAGGGTATGTGCTGGTTTTGGCTGGGATAGAGTTAATTTTCTTCATAGTAGCAAGTATGGGGCTACGTTTTGGATTTGTGATGAAAAGTGTTGATAATGCAGAGATGTTTTTGTTAT